AAAATGATGCAGGACAAAGTTGAAGCAAACAGAGGTAGATTGCGAGTATCTAAGGCGTTGCTGCGAAAATCTGACAGTAGAAAACAGGCGATTGACAAAGGAGGTAAACGAGCTGAGAGCACTGAAGCTTTCCCCACAGTTTTACATGAATACGTCCCCTCCTACTACCCTTACCATGTGTCCTCAGTGTGAGCGTGTGGCTGTCTCGTCCACGTCTTCAGCAACTCGCCAATGCAATCCAGCAGCAGCTCACCACCAACGACCAATTCCCGTGACCTCGTTGGCTGCCATGATTCCATCTCAACCACTTGATGCCAACAGCCACAATGCCTAACTTCAGCTAGAAGGATTTCACTATCTCGGGATGATGAAGTTTTGCCACCGAAAGAGTGACCGAGGGGCAGTGAAGGAAGGCTGCTTTGGATTCGGAGCAATCAAAACTTGTAAAAGATAGTCTGGTAGAGGACAGTAGTGTTTATAGATTGGGGTAGGAGATGGATAGAACTATGGGAAAATCTGTGTTATGTTTTTTTCTTTTATTGTTTTGTCTATGAAAATGTTAAGACAAATGTAGTTTTTTAATTGTGAAGATCAAGGTAACATTGCTGAAAATTACTGGCAGCTTATGAATAACTTAGAATTATGGTAGTTTATTTAAGATGAATCAGAGTTGCTTCATCTTTGGATGAATTCTTGCACATTAACTTTCCCATTTTTGCACATCAGGGTTATGATGAAAATCGAAAGGCATATCGTATGTGTCAATTGCCATTTAACTAATAAATCCATGGACTTTTGAGGTTGCACATAATGAGAAGTTGTTAGAATCGTATTTTGGATCGGATCCGTGGAGAAAATTGGCGACGAACAATTAAAATGATTAGAACTCAAATCTATAGAATTAAAAGTGGAGAACTTTGACGAAAAATTAGGAAGCAATTGAAACTCTATATTATAACTTATAAGAAGAAGAAATTATAACTTATAAGCCATAAGTCGAAACCTGTTACAAAAACTGAAAACACGTATCTTTTTTTCTTTATAGCTGAGAACTAATATTTCAAATTAGTGGAGATTGAAAGTAAATTTTTTGATTTAGGCTTTAATTAAAAGAAACTTAAAATTGAAGCATAGTATAAGCCAGTCTAATTGCTTTGTTACAAAACCAGAACCGGTCGATTCTCTGCCAGTTTGGTTCTAGCCTTAATGTAGAATCATTTCGTAGCAAAATTAAGAGAGAGACAGGTTTTAGAACCAAGTTCCTTCTATGGGGATAATAAACAACAGGGAATCCATTTCATTGACTTGTTATCAAACAGTGTTCACTGTGTCAGCAAGTGATCGTAATATGCTCTCTCAGTCTGCTTCTCCTGAATTCGCAGGCATTGGTCGCACGTGGGTCGATTTCCAGTAGACAGCCTCTATACAAATACCTATCAATCATGTAGCAGGCTTATATTAATAATTGGCTATAGAAAATGCGAACAACTAAAACTTGTACCAGAAACAGAGTACTTTCGAGGAAGAAATGTTGAAGATACATCATACAATATATATTGAAGTTTATTTCGAATACAAATAAAAAAACTGGTATTTCCAAAATCGGGTTATTTATTCAGCATTCTGCTGGCATCATTATGCTTTAGAAGCAATGGCAATGAAATTAGATGTACTCATTATGCCAGAAGAAGCTTAACACATCAGAAAGGTATGACGTAAAAGCCCTACGAACTCAAATCAATAGTACATGAATATTCTCATTTTACACCTCATATAGTTATATTCTACGGATAATCATTGCATCCTTTATTTGAACTAGAGTTCCTGACGTGCCTCCTTTTCCTTCTCCAAGAGGGGGAATCTTAACCTCATACAAGACTTGTAGGGCCTCAAAGTAAAAAGCTTCCAAGTCCTATGAATTCAATACGTCCCTGGTTTATAAAGAGATACAATAAATGCCCACATAGATCCGTGTAAAAATCCCTGAAACAATGATGTTGAAAGTGGCTGGTAGATTTTATATTTCATCATACAAATCAGCCCATGGAATAACCATGTTTGACAACTGGAATCAGAACAAATAATTGGACTTTCAGATTTAGAAGTTTGGAAGGAGACCAGAAGTACATTTCACAGATAGCTATGGAAGGAGCCTAATAGGAGAGAGGAATAGGGGTGGGGGTTGATGGGAGAGAAATCAATGGCGTCTAAGCAATTCATGTCAGAACAATGAGG